GAAGGTAATATTCACAGGTTCCAAGGATTAGGATATGGGCCTATCATTTGGGGGAACACCATTCAGCCCACTGTATATCCTCATTAGAAGAACATAATAAAACATTTGTTAAAGGATCAGGAAAATTTGAATATGAACTGAGTATTAGATGATATTAGCAAATCCTTATTTTGTTAGATGTGAAAATGACACAGTTTTTTGTTTTTGTTTTTTTTTAATTATTAGGGAGACATCCTTAAGTGGTTAGGTACAATGAGATGTTAGGGTTTTGCTTTAAAATACTCCAGACTCTTCCCTCCCCTATGAAAAAGTAAATCAAGATTAGTCATATTTTAATAATTGCTGAAAAAGGGGTGATGACTGTGTAGGTCTTAGGATTCTGGTAGTAAAAAGTTTTTTGTAAAGTAGTTGGAAAAAACGTAAAATTGTCCACTAAAATTAGACAGTAAATGTCTCAGAATGAACTTATCCAGAAGATCTACACATGAAAAATATTACAAGACTTAAATCAGTGGAGGGGCAACTGGGTGACTCACTCCGTTAAGCCTTTGATTCTTGATTTCAGCTCAGGTCATGATCTCATGGTTTGTGGGATCGAGCCCTATTTTGGGCTCTGTGCTGACAATGTGAAGCCTGCTTGCAATTCTCTCTCTCTCCCTCTCTCTCCACCCCTGCCCTGCTCGCTCTTTCAAAATAAACTTAAAAAAAAAAAAAAAATCAGTGGAGACACAGATCATCATCTTGTGCAAGCAGAAATAAGTCAAAACACCAACAGGTGCCTTTTTAAAATACTCCTAACCTTAACTACAAAATTTTAATTAGGAATTTCTCCTAAGAGAATAACCCACACATGGTGCCAGATGGTGCAACAATACTGGATAAAGTAAATTATGTTATAGCCATATTCTAGAACACTATGCAGCAACTAAATGATGTCAATATTTATTGACCTGAAAATATGTTCAAGATAAATTAAGTAGAAAAGGGGTTATATAGCCATATAGAGTATGATTCCATTATTTGTTAATAAAATATACGTGTGAACATGTACAACTCACACCCTTATTTACACATATCAGAAGGGGAAATATACCAAAGGCCAGGATATATACCAAAATGTTAATATTCAGTTATTAACTCTGAATGGTGAGTTTGCAGAATTCTTATTCTTTACCTTTTATCAGCATTTCATTTTTCTACTATGAACACCTATTACTGATACAATTAAAGAAAAATAAAAGTGTGGCTACAGACTTTATGATCACCATATGCCCTACAGAGGCAGTGGGGGGTGGGGGAGACAGTGCTTCCCTTGCCAATGTATTGTTGAAAGTTCTAAGAACTTTATATTACTTCTCCTAGCACTTTCCAAAATGTGTTCCATAGAACAGTTCCACAGGTGTCACACAAAGAAGGGTTCAATGTCCAAGTTTTCAGAAATGTGAGGTTAAGACATTAATCTGTTGTTTGCTAGGCATTCCAGGAGGAAAAGACATGGGTCACACACATTCTTTGGGCCACAGAACCTCTTCTTTTACATCCTACATAGTAGTAATAGGACTTGTATTTAACATATTTTAGGAAATGCCAACGTACAAACCTGAAGAAAAAGGACTATTTACATACTTACATTGAGAATCTAAAAGCTTCTGGCCCATTTTTCCTAGACTTAGATTGATTCATCTCAAAATAGTTCCAAACTTATCATATTTTTGTGGTCTCAAGCTTTATAGTTTTAAATATAATTTGCATCCTGCCGTCAGGTGATTTAGAGCCATGTTTTTTAAACTGGATTTCTACCAGGTGTTGAGAAATCAGCTTGGTGGTCACAAACTACACTTTTTTAAAAACTGAAATAAAACTCAAGAGTTTAGTAAGGGTAATGTTTTTGTGAAACTTTTGTGTCCACATATAATCACATAAAATATATATATATATATATATATAAAATCACATAAATATATATATATATAATCACATAAATAAATAAATACACACACACACACACACACACACACACACACACACACACACGTGTGTGTGTACTGGTCACAATAAAAAATGCCAAAAAATTTTTTGCCTTAAAAAAAATTGAAAGCCACTGAATTAAAGACATGAATTTATTGGTAAATAAGTTAAAATCAACACCTACTGATTTGATAAAATACTTATTCATCTATTGGTAAATAGATAAAATCAACACCTATTTCAATACACCCAAACATTTCCTTGTATATGTTAGGTGAATTAAAAGAAAAAGAAGTTATCAAAGCAGTATAGCCAGCTAGATCCCAGACTTACAAACAAGTACCAAAAGTGTGTTTGAATATTAGGTGCTTAGAGTTTTTCCTCAAAGTAACTAGAGATCAGGTTTCCAATTAGTTCACAAAAGCCAATTTAAACTATGTAGCTTAACTATAGTACTAAGGTTATCACAGACTTAAATTGATCTTATTTATTTGTATCTGAGGTTCAATAGATCTCTAAGGACACATTCTCTTACACCCACACCACGGTCCCAGCACCCAGCAACTCCTTACAGTGCAGCAAACATCCACCACTCGACGTGCACTCCCCAAGTTGTGCTTAGGATTTCAGGAGAGGAAAGGATCAGAAGTTCTGACAGTCTTAGGCAACTGAGGTAGACTATGGGGGTCTCCAGAACATCTTCCAAATGCCCCAGCTCCGTGTCCCTCCCACCACATCCCAGCTCTGGTATAAGCTCAAACATGAAAGACGCTTACCAATGGTTTTTGTGTGTGTTTTCCCCATCTTTACGAATCTTTAGGAGAGACTGCCTACCAAAAACGAACGGTGGTCCACTCTACCTTTTTTTCAGATCCCCAAACTACTGCAGTTAAAAAAATATACATCTCTCTGGCTTTATGTTATTTGCTACCGCTAAGACCAGCTGTTGATTTTATCACCTGACTGCTTTTCTCATAAGCTGTCTAGATATAAAAATTCTATTACCAACAAGTTTCTCTGCACCAAGAGAGACAGGTCAGTGCCTAGAGAAGCACGGCCTGTGGGATCTCCTATTAAATCCAGGAACTCAGGGTAAACTAGAATGCTAATCTCTAGCTTAACGCTCCGCTCTTACTGATCTCATGATGTCCTGGGAGATTATTAAGAGCCATCCTGAAGAGTACACATCAGTGGAAAGCTCAGTGAAAGCTGCTTGAAGAAGCCCCTGGGATACTCGTGTAACACGACTGCGTCACTCACCGGGACAGAATACAAACCGCCACTCCCACAGGATGTACCCAACACAGAACGGATCTTAACAAAAGTGCTCAATTCTCAGGTGAAACCTAAGACAGCCGAGCGGGCACCAGGTTTTTAGTATAAGGCTGACCCAGTCAATCTCTCGGCTTTTTGGCTGTGTCAGCCGCCTGATCCCAAGACTCACCGATACAGCTCCAGCAGCCTCAGGAAAGGGCTCTGTGCAGCCTAAGCTTGAGGCACGAGCAGCTCACTCTTTTCATCACCATCGAGCACACGGCCTCTGGTGTGCCTGTCAAATAGGCACATCAAGTTCAGTGCAGCCCCAGGTCCCATACCAAGACTTCCCCTCAAGGGAAACCGGACCCTGCCTCCGCCACCGGTGGCCGCGCCCTCCGGATGACAGACACGCGGATTCGCGAACACGTGGCCAATATTCCCGGTTTTACACCCCCTTGCTTTTGTGCACCAGGGCAAGTGTGGGAGGTTTAAGTAAGGGAAGGGTTAGAAATCATCTCAGCATACCCTTTTCAGGTTCTGCCAGACAACCTTTATTACATCGGAAAAAGCAACACTAGGCACTAGATCTTGCAAAATGTGTTCTGACCAACTCTAAACTTTCTGAAATTAAAAATGCGTAACCACTGTAAAGTTTTTAATGAACAAAAAAGTTAAATACAAATTTTCATATGCAAAATAGATTATTGTATAACTGGCAGCCTCACAGCCAAGTACTAAATTTTCTTCCAAATTTCCGTGGGGGTGGAATGGGGGGGGATGTAAATCCTAATGAGTACAAAACTTAATTTCGGCTTTATATATATAGAAAAAAAAACAAACTTTGAGGAAAAATAGCTTTTACATTGAATAGTATCTCTTGAAATAAACAGCCCAGGCCAGCCCTTACAATTCTGAGGTTTATACTCAACCAGATCTGGGATGAAAATTAAGCTTTAGGGTTTATAGTTACTTCAAATCCAGTTTCAAGAGTAGCCAAGTCAGCTCATTCCCAGAAAGAGCAGTCTCTTTAGGATGACCACCACTCTTCTGAAGACTCCTGGATTGCCAGAGTTCCTAGGCCACCGTTCCACTTTTCCACGCCCCCAGGCCAAGGCCCGTAGTGTCAGACGTCCTCTGAAAGGCAATGAGAGCCCTACCCAAGGAGAAGGTTTCTCCTCTCCGGCACTTCCAAGCCTCAAGAACGAGAGCTCCAGCTTCTAGTTGGCAGTTTCTGCTCCAGCCTTCGGGAAGTTAATTAACACTTCCTTCCTCCCCCCACTGATTCCCCTCCTGATCTTCAGCTGGGAGTGGAGCTTGATTAACATTCCTTTCAAAAATAAATAGTTCAAACAGGTAATTCAGAGTTAACTGTGGAGCAGCAGCAAACAGCCACTGCCATTATGTTTGTAAATGAGTGAGCGAATGAACACACGTGAACAAACACACAAAAAACAAATCATAGAATAAATCCTGCATTTCCCACATTCATAGGGAAAAAAAAAAATCTTAAAAAAAAAAAGTATTAATTAGCGTTTGTTCTTGTGTGGGTTGAATAGTCCAGGGCTCTGAGCAGGCACAGGCTCACACACAGGGTCCACGCACCAAGTCGGGCCCAGGGTGCAGGGAGAGGCCTGCGTGCGCGTCCTACAGCCCAGTACCTGTGAGCCAGCAGGGGCGATGCGGGGACTGTTGAACCCACGATGCATGAGGTATATGGAAACATCCGTCCTCCGTGAAAGAACCACCAGCAGCTAGAGGGACCGGGCGGGGCATTCTCACAGCAACTGCTGATGAAGGATTTCCCACACCATCTTCTTCCGGAAGAGAGGCATCTGGTGCTGCAGAGGACCCACAAACGACACGTATGTTACACATTACCGTGCACAGCGTCAACCTGCAAGTGTAACCAAGTAAATAACCCATGTCCTTTCTATAGCCTTGACTCTCTCATGTCATGGTTCAGACTTACAAAGCCAAAAAAAATGAGGCTATAATGTTATTATATTGCATGTATCATAAGCATCTGTACATGCTAAGGAAAATCTGAGCAGGATGCAGAATTACACATAGACTCCAACAACTACTCATAACACAAAAACATGTGCCAAAATGGAAACACCCAAGTGATGGCATAATACCAAACTTTTCTACTTACGTACATTTTCAGAACATTCTAAAATGAGTATCTTCTGCTTTTTTGAGAAACAACATGAACTTTATTTAAATAAAGGAAAAAACATTAAAAATTTTCTGTTCTACCAAATGTCGTACACTGTCAATTCTGTTCAAATGGCAACTTCAGCCCTTCAGACCTCACGTCAGCAGGTTCAGAGAGCAAATAACTCCTTGTATTCAGAAGCATCAAAGAACAGAATGCCTTAATATTCTGCTTTAAGATCATCACTGCAGGAGCCAATTTTCAAAAGCAGCAGCACGCAAGACAAATCCAAATCACCTGTAATTCAACTAGTCCTCTTTTTAGTGAAATCAGAAGTTCACACCCTTGAGGTACTCCTGATGTCTCATTATAATAAGATGAATACACCACTTTATTATAAACTAGGGCTTTCCTACCTGGAGGGGCCTAACACATCTTAACACATGGATGCGTAAGTTATTTTAAATAGCTCGAAACCTGTAGTAAAAAATTACACATTTATTCTTAGTAAAACTACTCAAACTAACCAATTAATAAGTGCCTTTATTTTAGACTAGAATTGTCTTAATTCAGCATGGGAGCCCTAGAAACGTGAAAGAGGGTTATTAGTCCTATTCAATAAGTACAGTTTGGTAGACAACATTTATCAAAATGAGGTCTCTTTAGGAAAAATGTGTCTTACAGGGGTTGTCTTCAGTTACACAAAGGTTGAGAATCCACTATTACAGATTAATTCTCAAGAGTTCCCAACACACTCTAATAATCCCCACCCAAATGGAGAACCCCAAATAACCAGCACAGAAGGGAAAAAGCAGTATTTGTAGTTACAGCTTACACCTGTGGCTTAAATTCTCACAAGGCCTGATTTTCCAGAGGGAAAAATCTTACATGCCTCCTCCTTTCGCTAGAAATATCAGTAATACTCAGGAATCAGAGAGCTCCAGAGTCCAGACATATGCAAATTGTCTCACTGGTCACCAAAGACTAAACATAAGAGCAGTGGCAGTGACAAACCCTGATACCAGCAAGAGCAGGGCCATGGCCAAGGGTTACGGCAATAATAATAGTGGCACAGCCACCATTATTAAGACCTTAATGTGACCCAGGCACTGGTAACATGCTCTAAGTTTATCTGGTTTAGAAACAAGTAAGTAGGTGAGGAGGGATCTTCACTCACCTGAGTAAATGTGATAGGTTTGTCCCTAGAGATATAATCTGCATATTTACAAGTAAACATTCCACAATCACTCCCATTTAACTGTTGAGGAATCTCCTAAAATTACAAAAAAAAAAAAAAAAAGGGAGAAAAAGGCATAAAATTTCATCACACACAAACTCCTTTGACTTCTTACAAATATTCCCGTGGATAAACAATATTATAAAGGTGTACGTTAAAGGTACTACACAAACACAGTCTTTATGTTGTATAAAAACCCTAACCATGGGGGCGCCTGGGTGGCGCAGTCGGTTAAGCGTCCGACTTCAGCCAGGTCACGATCTCACGGTCCCTGAGTTCGAGCCCCGCGTCAGGCTCTGGGCTGATGGCTCAGAGCCTGGAGCCTGTTTCCGATTCTGTGTCTCCCTCTCTCTCTGCCCCTCCCCCGTTCATGCTCTGTCTCTCTCTGTCCCAAAAATAAATAAACGTTGGAAAAAAAAAAAAATTTTAAAAACCCTAACCATGACATGAAGTATGTGACCCACACAGAAAATATTTTTTTGGAAAGAAAAAAAAAAGCAAAGTGAGAATTCCTTCTCTCAGCTCTCCTATCAAGAAACCAAACTGAAAGAAAGTTTACTACTAGGAACAGGAATTCTAGTCAGAATGGTTTCAGAAGCACTTTATAACTTTTGAAAAGGGCTAAATGTGAGGAGCACCTGGGTAGCTCAGTCGGTTAAGCTTCCGACTTTGGCTCAGGTCGTGACCTCACAGTCTGTGGGTTTGAGCCCCGTGTCGGGCTCTGTGCTGGCAGCTTGGGGCCTGGAGTCTGCTTCGGATTCTGTGTGTGTCTCTCTCTGTCCTCCCCGCCACTCACACTCGGTCTCTCCCTCTCTCAAAAATAAACATTAAAAAATTTTTTTTCTGAAAAGGGCTAAATGTGGCACAATCAGAAACACATACAACACAACGAACCTACTTGAAGACTGCACGGTTTAGCTTCTCTAGCCAAGAAAATAGGATGAAAACTTTCAACCCCCACAACAAGCAGGAGAAAGAAAAAAGCTTCTTGATAGGCTTTAACTAACCAAGATCTTGCTCCGATGGCTCAGTTTTGTCCTAAGCAAGAGCCCAGCTTCCTGCAAGCAGTGCTAAAGGCGTCATAAACCGATCTAAGTGAGGTAAATTCACACACTCCCCAGGCCTCTGCTGCCCTGATCTTGGCCAGACCCTACACACTTTGGCTGCCGGCTCAGCGGAGCACAAGACAATAATAAGAGAGAGTCTGAACCCCTGCTGGAAAACATTCTAGATGACAACAGCTAACTTTTATTCAAAGAAATACAGAGGATTATTGTGAAAAAAGAAGACTGTTTGAACATGTGTGACACCCACGCACATGGTAGGTAGCTCGTGCTTTTCTCCTGAGCACAGCAGCTCTCACAGAGTGGAGAACTATGGACACCGATACACAAAGGAAGAGAAGTTGTTTTCTTTATCACGTTCCCCACACCAGAACGTGGCATTCGTCCTAACAGACTCTCCTTATATCTCCTTGTATCTCTCCTCAGGAAATTTCAAAGCTCAACCTTTAAATCATTCAACTTAGAAAGGAAAATCCTGTGGGACAGGTGAGCCATTATACACAGGTGAGGGCTAAAATTGAATTCATGTGGCTTACTTTTAAAAGAAGCCATTAGGACTCAAAATGTATGCAATCTCCAACCCCGAATGAGATTCAAATCTGGCAAGTATAATACAAAGCATATTCACAAACAGCGTACTTGACTCTTTTGAGAACCTGTGGCACGGGACCCTTAAGATCTAAATAAACAAAATTCTCAGAGAAGTAACAAGAACTTTAAACCTTCATTAGCTCCAAACAAGAAAAGTGGCTGACTTTAACCTATTTGCTTTTCTGAGAAACATACTAGCATGCAGTTAACGTTTACAACTTAAACAAGAAATAAGGCTAAGAAGCAGGCATCTTAGTTAAATCTTGCCTTTCTCAAGATTTAGAAGTAGGTAATAATTCTTAAGAGTACACTTCAGGAGAATGCATGCCTAAGGGTATGAGTGAGTGAGGGGAGGGAGGAAGCCAAGTCTACTAACAGGCCTCTGTCACTAAATGCAAGAAAGCACTTCAGATACAGACGGATCATTACTTACATGTGGCTTCATGCTGTAGTGGGTCCACTCTAAAAGATTTAGATCAATATTTCTTTTGGTCTTACTTTCATCCTGTAAATACTGACTAAAAAAACAACAAAGAAGGAATATATTGATGAATCCCTGTGGAGACTTACCATTCTGATTACAAAGGACATTACAAACGATGTTAACAGACATGCTATTCACAAATCCATCTCCATTAGCTTTTTTAAAAATGTGATTGCTTCCGGTTTTTAAACTGAAGTTTTTCCTTATAAAAACTGTACATGCTTTAGAAAATTAAAACCTGTAAAATGTCATATGCAAAAGACCTTATAATAGCCACTCCAGAAGTAATTACTATTAACAGTTTGCTGTGTATTCTTCTAGCTCTCCACCCCTAACACACAATGTAAAAACATACACTTTATCCTATTTTTAAAAGGACTTCATTTTACAACTCGCTTTTTCTCACTTAACAATAGACATAAAATGTGGTGGGGGATGGGTGAAGCGGGTGAAGGGGATTAAGAGGACACGTATCGTGATGTGCACAAATAATGTTCTATAATTGTCGAATCACTAGGTTGGCTGTAGTGCACACCTGAAACTAATAAAACACTGTATGTTGGGGCGCCTGGGTGGCGCAGTCGGTTAAGCGTCCGACTTCAGCCAGGTCACGATCTCGCGGTCCGTGAGTTCGAGCCCCGCGTCAGGCTCTGGGCTGATGGCTCAGAGCCTGGAGCCTGTTTCCGATTCTGTGTCTCCCTCTCTCTCTGCCCCTCCCCCGTTCATGCTCTGTCTCTCTCTGTCCCAAAAATAAATAAACGTTGAAAAAAAAATTAAAAAAAAAACAAAAAAACACTGTATGTTACCTATGCTGGAAGTTAAACAGAAAGATAAAACAGAAGGTACCTATATACTTGTGGTAAGCACAGCATAGCTATAGAGATGTCAAATCACTAAGCTATACACCTAAAACTAATGTACCATTATGTGTCAACTATACTTCAATTATAAATAAATAGATTAAAAACAACGGGCCTAGACTCAAAACAAAAAGAAAAACAAAAAGAAAAAAACGAAAAAAAAATGTCATTGCCATGAGAAACAAAAAAAGGAAGACTATTTCAAATTAGACTAAAAAGACATTAAGTCCATGTGTGAACCTGACTGGCTTCCTGGATTTAGAAAAAACTATAAAACATACCTGAAGAAACCAGAACATGAACCATATGTTACATATGACTGATTGCTAATGTTCTTAAGTGTGATAATGACATTGTGATTATGTAAGGAAACTTCCTTGTTTCTAAGAGATATATACTTAAGTATTAAGAGTGATTTAAGGGGCACCTGGGTGGCATAGTTGGTTAAGCATCTGATTCCTGATCTCAACTCAGGTCATGACCTTGTGGTTCGGGGGTTCAAGCCCCACATCAGGCTCTGCGCTAATGGTGCAGAGCCTGACTGAGATTCTGTCTCTCCTTCTCTGCTCCTCCCCTTCTTGCGTGCATGTGTGCACTCTCTCTCTCAAAATAAACATAAAAAAAAAA